ACAGGTTTGGGGGTTTGCTCCTGTCACCCCTGCAGGGCAGCAGAGGGGCTGGAGTTCCCTGCTGTCAGCTCTAGGCTCTCACCAGAGGAGTGGTCAGGTTATAGTACAGTGGAGGCTGGTGTACTCTAAAGTAGCACCTCATGCTCCAGGGAACTCTTAGCCAGAGCCTGCCTGGAATGAACAGCTGGAGAGATTTATTTGGTGCTCTCTAGGTTAGAGGGACATAATGCTCTAAGGAGTGAGAGAGGTTTGAGGAATGCAGGGTCACAGCTCCTGGAAGACCTTTGCCGATTCAGTAATCCTGTGGGCATGCAGTGCTGAGCTCAGCTCCTGGGAGGGGACTGGCCCAGGAGAGCAGGAGATCCTGGGAAATGCTGCAGAGCTTCCCAGGGAAAGTGCAGCAAAGGACCACACACTTGAGCTTGACAGCTTGGGCCCTTCCTTCTCTGTGCAGATGTTGATCGGGAAATCATCCTTGAAAAATTAATCAGATTTTTGCCTTTTTAGTGGAGTTTCGTGCCTCTCAGACAACTTTGATTTCTCATGTTTTACTTTGGTTCTCCCTGCTGTTTCCTAAGCATTTTCTTCTTGGAAAACCTGGAAGTTATCTTTTTCCTAACTTGCAGTTACTTAAGCTTTTACAGGAGGCTCTGAAATGGTTTTGCTGTTCCATCCCAAATGCAAATAACTCCAAGTCCCCCAGCAGGACATTGCAGGGTGTGACCAGGAGAGTGTGTGAGGTTGCAAGAAGAAAACCGTGTCATACCTGCACTTCAGGGAACGAGGAATTTGTCTTTTCAGGCTGTTCCCTGGAACAGCATCACAATGAAGCTGGAAGGAGAAAGGCAGAGTGAGAGGAGGAGAGGAAGCACATGGCTGTTTGCCTGCTACTTCTGGAGTGCATGACAGCTCTGGTTCAACAGCGGTGAGAGCAGCCTGGTAGTGTCACCAGGCTGGAGGCTGCAGCCTCTAAAGCTTGGGACAGCACAGCTCACATGGAGCTGACAGGAAAGTGTGAGAGCAACAGTGCATAACATAGCAAAGCCCTGGATTTCTTTTTCCCTACGCACGTCAAAAAGCACAACAGATGGAAGGAAGAGCTTGGGGAAACAGTCATGGAGCTGGGGCTCAGGACATGGGAATTCAGCCACTGAGGTGGTACAAGACCAGGGATAAGCAGATGATCTGCCTCTCCTTTGTTTTGCTGATCATTTCAAGATGTTATTCTTTCTCCCCGTCTGTTTTGACACTCGGTTCTTCAGGACTGGCACAGTTTCATATTATCTCCCTTTTAGAGAGGGGCTTTCTTCCAGCACGAACCTGTCCTGAAGTACAAAAGAACAATATTGACTATTTGTTAATGCCGAGAGCAGAATTATTTAATCTTCCCCTGCTCTAACCAGTCCTGCAGTCTGCTGCTGCCTGCCGTGTGAGGTACTTGGCAACATTCTTCTACAACAAGCTCTCTCTCCTCATCAAGCTTCTGTCTCAGAGATGCATGTGAAGCATTTCAGTTTTTTCACCCTTTAATCAGATGCCTGACCCGTTCTGAACAGTTCTCAGCCTATGACCTCTTCCCAATAAACAAGTTTCAAACAAGCTGCCACATCAGATTTTGTGCAGGAACGACTGTGAGACAGCAAGGAGAGGTGATCATGCCAAATAGCGCTCCTTGGGCCAGACCTCGCTCTCCTTCCCCGCAGGAATTAATTTACATTTTTGGAAAGGCACAACCATCTCACTGAAAAGACATTATATAATTTCTCCAGCACCGAGAGATCTCCTGTTCTGTGAAGAATGGAGTGTATTTAATTAGGCAAAATATTTCTAGTGAGTTGTCCTGGAATGAACACTGTCCAGGGCACTTGGTTCTGCTGGAGTTACGCGTGATTTCAAATGTGGAGGAAGCATCACAGCCACCTGGGCCACAGGTCCTTTGGTCAAGGAGAGTGTCAGAAACTCCCTGACACTCTGCCAGCGCTGTAATGCTGGACTCTCAGAATGAGGCATTGTGCAAGTCTTGCTGGGGAGCTCAGTAGCTTAGAGCTGGGTCTTGGTGTTGAAAGGTCTCAGTGAAATTATTTTCGTTCATGTTTCTTTTTCCTCTCCTTTGTTCTTTTAATCATAATAATCAGTGGAACTGAAAGAGTGAAGAAAATGGTGATTTTCTTTTTGTGAACTCCGTTATTCTGCCCAAAACTGTTACCATCTTTGGGACACTTGCTGGCAGCTTCACAAGAGATGCTGAAGTGAATGATTGAGTGACACTCACTGTGTGGGCAATGGGTGCAAATGCAGATACACAGACAGGATCCTGTGCCTGGTGTTCCCTCCTCAGCCCCCAATCTCTGTTTCTAATAACTCCTTTCACTGCTGCTGAATGCATACTGCCCCATTTTCCCTGGCAAAGGGGGAAAGCATCCTGAGGCTTTGCAGTGCTGTTCTCTGCAAGCGTGTTGTGTCCGAACAAGGCACCTGGGTGCCAGCTTGGGGCAAGGTGTTGTAATTATTGTCCACCAGAATCCCAGTTCCCAGGTGTCTGAACACAGGCACTTGCCTGGAATGTTCTCTACTTGCTGAGCTGGCCACTGTGCAAGTACCTGCATTGCCTTGGCCTGGGAAGGGCAGGAACACTGGAAGGATATGGGATTATCCCCAGGTGTGTCACAGCTGGGTGTTGGCATCACTGTGCAGCTGAGCTCTGTGAACACTGCAGGGACCCATGACAAACAGTGACAAGGCATTATCCCTCAGCTCGATAACCCAGTCTCCAGGATGCCGCTGTTTGCTGATAAATATGGTTTTTCAAACTTCATGTCTTATGGCTCTGTTCCCTCATGTTTTTGAGGGAGTATTCAAACTGGTTTAGCTCTAAGGTGCCATCAGAAATGTTGTCAAGCAAGTGATGTAATTGTTCTTGTGTCGCCGTGGCCTTGATGACACGTGGACTGTCCACTGGTGACAGTCAGTGCCAATAAATGTGACTTTGCTTTCCTTCTAGCCCCTTTAGATTGGAAAACCTTCCAAGATGATGGGTAATAGCTGAACTTGGACCTTTCTTGAGGAAGGTTCCTTCCTTGAGGAAGTCAGAAGAGTGAAAATGTGATTTTTCAGTGAGTACATTTGGTCCTGTGTGGAGGCAGCTGTGGAAGTTGGAGTGCATCCTCTGACTTCTGGGCAGTGCCTTGTAGGACAGCCAGCAAACAAGCAGAGGGAAAGCAGGAGTTGTGTATTGTTCTCTTGGAAAAGCAAAGTGGAGAGAGGACCATCCTGGGCAAATTCTCTCTGCTCCAGCATTCCTATTTTGGCAGGTTTCTGTGGAGGAGGGAGTCTGCAATGTTCACATAATGCTCAGCACACTCAGGCTCTCCAGATACTCCACGGTCAGGATAAAATTCTAAACACAACTTGATTTTTTAAATTAGCCATGAGTATTTGGTGGGTGGGTCTTGAACACCTTAGGCTGTGTTTGCTGCTGGTAAGAGTAGAATAGGATAAAACAATTCCTTCAGACTTCATAGAGTTTAAGAAGACTTGGTCTGTAGTGTTCCTTCCGTGGGCTTGTGAGCTTAAAAGGGGGAAAATGCTTCAAACCATCTTCCCCGTGAGTCATAAATATTTTTCCCATCACTTCAGTGTCATAATCTCTCATTCCAAGAGAGATAATATTCAGCAGTGAAAGCCAGGGCCACGCCCTTTGCTAAGAGGTCATGGACTGTAGGAGCAGCATCCCTTGAAAGAGGATCTGAGGCAGGAGACCAGGATACAGCGGTGTTTGCTTGTTTGCTCAGTTTCTTTTTAATTTTTTTGTGTGTGAAATGGCTTGGCACCAGTTTATGCTTCATGTGAAATATTTACTTTTGTCTTATTTACAGGAATTTTAAATGCTTGATCAGAAATATGATCTCTCTAGTTTGTATGCATACTTTCCAGTAACCCAATTAAACCCCAGCTGCTGTGCAGGAGAGTCAGATCCTTTTTCCAAGGACTGCTCTTTATAGATTGCTTTTGTGCCCTCTTTGACTGGTGAGAATTTAATTACACAGAAGGAAAAGAAAAAAAAAAATCTAATACCTTGCTTGGGGATGGAAAAATCTAAGAATCTTTATGTTTTCCCAGAAATGTTTAGGACCCAATCCTGCTCTCAGCTGATGGAACAGCAGTTTTGGTGTGCAGTTCAGTGGGGCACCAGGCTCTATCCCTCTTCCCTTTTCTCAGATAACCATGGAGGTTAGCTGGAAACCTGATTGTCAGCTGGCCAAAGGAAGTAAACTCCTCCATGCCTTTAGATTGTACAGCTTGTACAATTGTTCAAATCCCTGGACTTCAAGATTCTAATGATTTTTCCAAAACTATTTTGAATAACTATTTAATTCTAGCATTAAAGCCCAAATTGTTGGTCAAGTGAAATATTAGTTCATGTAAGATTGACATCTTCATCTTGATTTTTTCTTTATTTTTATTTTTAAAATATTTGGACAGGATTAGGCAGTGGGCATTGGAATGTTTGGAATGCACAGTTGAAACTACATCAGATAGCATTAGTACTCAAGTCTCAATCCTAATTCCAATGATTTTAATAAAAGGAATTCATGCTGTCACTTCTGTCCTTTTAGGGAAATCCTGGATAATTTGTAAGGTGAACGTACGGCATCTGGTTCTAGGTGCTTGTAGTCTGCAAGGATGATGCTTTCTGCGCTCTCGGGTCTTTAAAAAGAATTGATTTCTGGCTGACACTGAAAGGACCAAATGTTTGGGGTTTGTTGGTTTTGTTTTGACTTGTTACTTTCTGGTTTCTTTCTTGTTTGTGTGGTGGTACACAACAGAAAAAAGAAATTGAAGCCCTCGGTGTGCAGGGATTTCGGGTGATCCTGAGTAAAAGGAGCTGGTGCAGGTTGTAAAATTAGTAACAGGCTCTTGTGCTGAAGATTGGGAAACAGTTGCACCTGTTCCTCAAAGGGCAGTCCTTCAGCTGAAAAGGTTCTTTTACTATCTCAGTGTCTCTGCATGAGGAATGTTTGGGGTCCGGTAAGAGTGACCTCATTGGGAAGGGGCTGCAGCTCTAGTTCTTTACTGGCAGGGAAGCAGAGGCCTGGGGAACCAGACAGCAGCATGTTTTGATACTGAGCTTTGGAGCAAGGAAATAATTATGACTTTATCAGTTAAGTGTCAGTCATTCTGTCTCTCGCTGTTTTGACATGTTCAATTCTAGTGACTGGTGGTAAAAGAGATGAGAGTGGTAGGGGGGGTTTGAAGGGAAAATTTTAATGGAGGGAAGCAAGGGGAGAAAAAAACCTGTCGAAGACAATTTCTGGCAGGCAGTTGGGTTCCTGGTGCAGACAGATTGGCTGATGTTGATTGTTGACAGCTTCTGCAGCTTGCTAATTACAACTGTAAAAAATTCAGGTGAATGACAGGAACTTGAAATGTTAATTCTGCTTTTATTATTTTGCAGCTGCAACTGTTAGTTGGCTCTTGCTGTAATTGATGGACACTGCCAGTTGCTTAGACAGATGGGAATTAATACTGGTGTTCCCATTAGAGCTCACCATCACAGTCACGCTGGCTTTGCACTGGGTTGATGCGTGCAAGAGAGTGCGTGTGGAAGGAGCAAGCGTGGTTCCTGCCTGCAGTACTTGCCTTCCAGGGCCTTGGAGCCATCCATCCAACACAGAGCAGATGAGCTGCTTGCCAGGTTAGTACATGCAAAAACAGGCCCTCTGTTTGCCCTGAGCTTCTGGAAGAGGTTACGTGTTGATAAATACTGCCATAATAACATGGGTGTCTTAAGACTTGTGTTTAGTTGTTCTGATTGTTCCTCATCAGAAATGCAGCTGTCATCTTGGCTGGTGTCTCCTGCTGGTAGTCACCTGCACACCATGTGAATTGGCAACTGTAATGCTGGTTGAAAGCAAAATGCTAGAGGTAGGGTAAGTAAAGCGGTTAATGATGTCAAGCAGTAGAGGAAGGCAGCAATGAGTCAGGGCTTTTCCAGAGCGGAGGTGTAACCTTTTAGGTGGAAAAAACGATAAAGAGACTTGTAGTTTTTTGACTGATCTGCCAGTGGGCCTGCTTCCCATATGGTTAATATCCTGGTCTCTGAATATGGATTTGCTTCAGCCTTGCAGGGTTGGGTTGCTGAGGGAAGAAGTGGCTCAGTTTGTCCCTCTGAGGACTTGTCCCTTTGCAGAGGTTTAGTCTGTGGGAGTGAAGTAATGCAAAAAGCACATGCAAAGAGCCCCTCATATGGGGAGGGAACTGCTGAAGTGTTGGTCCAGGTAGCTGAAACCTTGGCTTGTTTTTGACCAGCAAAGTGACTTCATAAATTCCAAGTCCTCAGAAGCTTGCTCTTTTTTTTTTTTTTTTTTTTTTAGCAGTTTGCAGAACACATGGCTTTGAGGTGGTGTGGAGAATTCAGCTTCTTTCCTGGTTGCTGAGAGTTTGCGGTGAGTGGGACTCTCATCCCCGGAGGCGTTTATGAGCTGTACTTACAGGTAGGCTGGCAGAACACACAGCAGCTCAGCTGGAGGTGCCAGTGTCCCTACGTCCTGGTGTGTTGGTTCCATGCAGGGCGGGTCATACACACACAGTGCCCTCTCCTCCTCCCAAGTCTCCTGCCATCAGATCCCTGCCCGATGCTCAGACCCAGCTGGTCTGGCTGCTGGCTCAGCCAAGGGGCTGAGGTGTGAGCAGTGCATAGCAGCCCCTCCCCAAAGCCAGCCGCAGAGCTGAGGTGTGCATGGCCGTGCGCTCGCACGCAGCACAGGAGATGTTTGACGCTCAAGGTAGGAGCATGTTGCCCAGTGCTATGCCAATTACTGGATATTAATGGCAGGATAGCATGCATATGCCTAAACTGGGAAGCAGAAGGTTAATAGACGAACAGCACCAGAAGATCCCATTTATCAGTTTCTATTTATCTCTCCTTGGGAGGTGGCAGGTTTACAGTAAATACCTTCTGTCCTCCTAATTTCCTAATGATGGGGATAATGATGGAGAATGGTGAAGTCATTAACTGGGACAGCCTCTGTGCATCACTCTGTCAACCACATCTCTCCAAGACCTGCAATGAAAAGTGATAGGCCCCAGCTGTTCACCAGATTCTGTTCCCTTCCCCCTTCTCCATGCTCAACCCCAATTGCAGGCTTAGCAATTAAAAAACAAGGGGAAAAAATGGGACCCATGACCTCAAAGACACAAGCCAGTCCCTTTTACTGATAAGGCAGTGGTAGCTTAGTGCCCTGCACTTGGGTGTGGGTTTGCCCCCATTCAAATGCTCCCAGTTAAATGCAGTGCTATCCCTGGGCTGGGTGGTGTTGTTTGGGCCAGGTGTGCAGCTCTGGAGGGAGGAATATGAGCTGGCATGAGTGAGTGGAAGCGGAAGAAGATTGTGCTTCTGGAGCAGAGGCACTGTGTTTCCTTGGTCCTGCCTCCCATTCTTGCCTTCTGTGGAAGAGCCTGTTCAATGCCTGTAAAAACGGCACCAGTTCTCTGTGTCTGACTCTTGTGTCCTGGGATACTGATGGATTTTGGGTCATGTGGAACTGTGGGGGTGGGCTCTGATTCTAGATTCCACTGCTTGAAGTTCACAGGACAGAAGTGTTCCTGAAAGATGACCTGAAGTTCAAATGAACATGCACGTAAGTAAATTGCTGCTTTGAAAACATTGTCTTTTTTTTCCCCCCATTGTGACATTTCTATGTAAGTGACTCTTGAGGCTTTTATATTTGTTTCACATTTGGACAGTGGCTGGGAGTTGATGACTGTGTTCAGAGAGTTAAGAGTGGTTTGCCATTTACAGCAGCTGCGTGTTCATCCAGTGAGGGCCTGTGATTATGGCCAGCCCTATTTTGAGCTGGCTGTGGCCTGGAGCACCACGTGGCAGAGCCACCCAGCTATCCTGCGGGTGGTGCCTTTTGGTCCTGACCGCCTTGTGCTGTGCCTGAGAGTCTGACCTTCTGCCTGGGTGCGCTCTGAAAAGGGAGGCCTGCCTGAAGTCAGGTTTTCCTGTGCATCCACCGTGTGCTGGGCTCATAAAAGAACTCTCGAGCTGTGGGAGCTTTGTGTTAGAAGGGTTCATTAACTTTCAAATGTTTCAATTGAGAAATTTCAGAGCTCTCAGCATAGACCGGGGTGGCCAGCTCAGCCAAGAGTGTCCCCTGACAGTCAGGTACAGATGTGATTGCTAGTCAGAGCACCGTAAGAAACCTAATAGTGTCCCAGCAAATGTCATACTTGAGCTGGAAAGGATTAAACCAGATAGCCCGGAGAGGCTGTAAATAATTTTTATTGGGCTTTAAGAACTAGGGAGACAAGAGGAGCCTTTACCTTGCAGCTTGCTAGAAATTGTGCCTGCAGGGTTGTGGAGTGTGTGCCGTGGTGAAAGAAAGGGTTCTGGGACTGGTCTTAATCTGAGCAGGTGCTTAACTGTGTTCTGAAGTGCCTTGGGCCAGGGTAGATCATGGTGCATAAAGGGGTGTTTTCCTGACTGGTGTCTGACCCTGAGACATGAGAAATGAAAGGCAACAGAAGGCTTTGCTGTGTGGGAAATGTGATGTTAGCTACTTAGCATCTGAGACAAGTGGAGTGTAACTGTTCCCTAAACACTTCCTTCTCCTTTATTTTCAAATTAAAAATACTTTTCTTGGCTGTTCAAACCTACTGAGTATTTTTTGTTTTTTTTTCTAAATTCATGCTAATCTATTGGCTGTATGCTGGGGAGTCTTCTCCCAAGCGAGTGGAGTTGAGTTCAACACCTCTGGTATCACTTGGTTAATAACTTTGTGCCTCCGGTCACAAATTTTGAGACCAGGGAAGGAGGAGTTCGATTTCATGTGTGATCATTCAGGACCCTCTGTTCAAGTTTGCTTGCTTTGTACAAGCTTAGGGGCTGGTGTTTGACCCTAAGTCTGTCCTCCAGCTTTGTTTTAGACATGTGAGGACATACCAGTTTACTGGATTCCAGCTACTCCTAGGACAAATTGCAGGGGCTCTTTGGTGGTTTTTCAATGTTGTGACCCTTGCCTGGGTTGTTTTCTGTCCAGCCGGCCTTGCCTGGGTTCTCCACAAGAAAGGCTAGCCTACTGCTCCCAGTGAGGCGAAGCCTTGTGGATTGCAACCCTCCTATGTTGCAATGGTTCCCACAGGAGCTCCTAGCTAAAAGCTAGAATACTGTTGATTGTTAATGTCTTAACTTGCTCTGGTCTGTCTATTGCAGGCCTAGCGGTCCAGGGGTGAACTCCATGCTTTTGTTCCTGTGGCCAGCCTGAGTGCTTTTGACAGCTCAAGCTTGTCACAAACCAGGCTGAATAGAACATGTGATATTACACAGCTGTTGGCTTCTAAATAAGGAAAATCATATTAGTACCTCTACAAGCAATCTGTATGGTAATTTCAGGAAAGCATGAGGTGGCTGTTCTCCCTGGGAAGAAATAACTGATAGATCTTATACATAAACTAACTGTAGGGAAGACTTAAGAGCCTAGCAAGGAGGAAAATTTTACTTCTTTGAGTAATGTTTGATGGGGAAAATAAAGGCAGGACCAATCACCTATCACTGGAAATTTGTTTGGGTAGGGCAATATCTACAGGACCAAATCTTGAGGAGGATAGCTGCTGTTAGAGATATTGCTGGTCAAGTGAAAGAAATGTTACTGGAGCATTGTAATAGCTATCTGAAACAATTTTCTCAATTATGTGTAACATACAGCAGTCGATGACTTAAAAAATTATTCTATCTGACAGGACAAAGGCAGCAAAAATGTTAGATTTAAGACAATTTTTAAAGGTGCAGGATGTACATGCTAACCCTCTGGCTATTGAGGGTTGAAATGAAACAGGAGTGGCTGTTGGCAATGAGCATTTAGCTTTTTACGACTTGCCTGACTACATCTGGTTCTGGCTGCTGCACATAGCTATGGCTTCCAGAGGGAAGTGTAGCAGCGCTTCTGCAGGACATTATGGATAAACCTAATGTTTTGCATGGATTTCGGTGGACTCTGGGTTCCAGAAGAATGGTGTAAAAGGAAACTGTCAGTGTTGTTTTCCTTGAGTGACTAATGTTCCTGCCTCTGCTGGACGAAGTCCTGAATTTTGGATTCAGTAGGGGGCATATGCTCCAAGTGGCAGTGCTTGTTGGGGCTGCTCTGTACTGCTCAAGTATGGGAGAATTCATGGATGGCTGTGGAGAAATGTGGAATAAAGGCAGGGGGCTGTTAAATAAGACGATGATGGCTGTTTTAAGGAGAAGGCAGCTGGGTATCCAGTGTATCCCGCTGACTGCCTCAGCTCAAAAGAGATGTCCAGTGCTGCATTTGCTGTGGCACTAGGGTGTTTAAAGGGAATTCTAAGAGCTGTAGAGGGTGGATGGCTCCCGGCCGTCCACCACTTCTCTCCTCTAGAAGAGCTGTTGCGATTTGTCTTGGTACGAAGGAACCTTCCACTCACTAGTCTCAGAACCTGCATAATATGAATCTGCCCCTGCTGCCCTCAGTACTGACACCTGAAAGTCCTATGGTAAAGAGTTACTAACCTCTGGTAAAGAGCTAAGCTTTCAGTAAGTTGTATTTAATTTGTCATTTTTACCTTGGATATGATATTTTGCTTATTCTGCGTCCGTCTTTCCCTTTTCCGTCTTTGCTCCTGCTAGAAGAGGAAACCTCTGCAGTTCTGTCCTGCTCCCATTTTTCAGATAAACCATCCATGGCACAGAGAGCTCAAAGCTCAATGGACTGTGCATGAGGCATTTTTGGGGTAAGCACTGTAAGAAATGGGCAGCACTGTGGTGCAGAGCTCTTCCTGTCACTTCCCAGGGCTCTCAGTCATGGAGTGTGTGCTCACATACTCCGTCAGCTGCTGTTGGCTTGCCTGCCTACACAGGCTAAATGTAAGGCCCCCAGTGAACATTTCTGTCACTTTTGCTGTTCTGGCCACTTTGCTTAATCAAAGAGCTGGAAGGAAAGCTCTCATTAGAGAGGCTTCCTCAGTTGTACAGAAGCCTCTGCTTGGCTAATTGAGGCTTTAGAGAGCTCGTGCTTCTGGTTGGGGTTGGTCTGCTTGATGTGATCTGGGCCTGAGGCAGAATGAAGCAAGCAGAGTTAAAATGATGTCTGAGCTAACATGATGGCTGGAGATGAAGCGGGTTGTGTTCTGTAAGGCTGTTGCTGAGAGACTACAGAGTTGGTTGCTAAAGCAGTGAACTGCTGGAATGTGCTGTGGCTGGGGAGGTTGTTTGGAATGTGTAGGTTAAAATGGGAGTCTGCATAGGGTGAATTGATTGCTTTCTTCTTCTGTGTTCAGTGGTTGGAGCCCAGACTCCTCCTATCACACGTTGGAGGAGAGGAGAGTGCAAGGCAAGGTGAGCTGCAGAGCCTGCAGTCTGAATGGAGGAAGCAGATAAATGCCAGGGAAAAAGGTGTAAAGGGTAGGGGGACAGAGCTAAGGTCTCTAGCTAATGTGTCTGTAGTGCTCGAGGCTCTTGCGCTTCTGGAGCAGT